ACACGCTGAGAGCTCCAGAGGAGCTTTGCTCTGCAGTAACCACCAGCTCTGGGAACCCACAGGACCCACCTGCAGCTGAATCCCAATGTTAGGGCTGGGAACACAGGCTGAGGTCTCATCTCCAGAGGTATCCCAGCCTCCCACCCCCCTCTCCCAGGCAGGATCCCCCTTGGGGTGAGAGGCCCAGGGGGTTGGTTACCTCCCGGCGATGGTCAGTGCTGCCCCAGGACGCCGAGCGCCGCTCAGCGCCTGTGTCCCCGTCCGGCCACGGCTCTGGGGTCTGCAGGGAGGAGAGATAGCTCAGAGAACCACAGCTGAGGGTCTGACAGGCTGCTCAGAGCCTGCAGAACCTGTGATCCACCCCCTGCACCGTCCTGCTTCAGTCTCCTCCCATCAGCACAAGGATCATCAGCATGGATGGTTTGGATTGGAAAGGGCAGTAAAGATCATCTCATGCCACCCCCAGGGATAACTTCCACTAGTCCAGGTTGATCCAAGCCTTGAGCACTTCCAGGGATGGGGCAGCCACAGCTTCTACATTAGGAAGAAGTTTTTCCCAGAAAGGCTGATCAGACACTGGATTGTGCTGCCCAGGGAGGTGGTGGAGTCACCATCCCTGGAGGTGCTCAAGAAGACCCCTGGAGGTGTCACCAGTGCCAGTTAAGTCACAGGTTTGACCTGATATCTCAGAGGTCTTTTCCAACCTCATTGACTCTGTGATTCTCTGGACAACCTGTGCCAGTGCCTCATCACCCTCACAGGGAGGAATTTCTTCCCAATATCCAATCTAACCCTCCTCTCTTTCACTGAAAGCCATTCCCTATGTCCTGTCCCTCCAGGCCCTTGCCCCAAGTCCCTCTGCAGCTCTCTTGGAGCCTCTTTAAGAACTGGCAGGGGCTCAAGGGTCTCCCTGGAGCCTTCTCTTCCCAGTCTGGCTCCAGCTCTCACATCATCTCCATGGCCCTAACATAAAGACATTCCCAACTATTTCTACTGGCCCAAACAAAGCCACTTTGCCCAGATTTGTGGCTATTGGGAAACTGAACCTCCCATGGCAAAGAGTCTTGCCCAGCACTCAGTGGCTCAGTCACAAGTGAGGTAGGAGGTCCCAGTCCATCACTGCAGAGTCATTCCCTGCCTGCCCAGGCTCTGGCTGATCCAGGGATCAGGTTCTCCTGCAGGGACAGAGCAAGAGGAAAAGCCTCCCCCAGCTCTGAGAACACACAAGTGGCTCTGAGGCCTCAGCTCCTGCTTTGGAGCTCCTAGGCACAACCAAACCTGAAGTTTGGGCTGGAGAGGGAGCACAGGAGGGACCAGCTGCCCCCAGCCCCTGTCCCTCTGTCCTCAGGGCTGGCAGCTCTCAGCTGTGTCCTACAGCTGCTTCCCAAGCAATGAGTATCAATGGGATCAGACAGGGCTGTTCATCTGATCAGCAAAGGGTGTGAACTTCCTCCCCCTGCACTCAGCCCTCTCTGGATCAGAGCAGTCTCCAGGCACATCATTCCCCCCCCCAGTTTTCCCTGCCTGTGTCACTGCTGCTGCCATGGCTGTGGGAGGCTTTGGATGATCCCTCCCTGCTCCATCCTCCTCCCTGGGCTGCCAGAAGCTGTGAGGGCCTGAGAACAGCTTCCCTGAGCTCCCCAGGGGCTGCTGCAGAGCAGCTGCTGCCTGGAACCAGCCTGTGAGTCAGGGGGTGACAGGAGCCTCTTCCCTCCAAATTGGCTTTAAAACCCTATTTAAACCAGGGGAATGAGGTGAGTTACCTACAGAGGCACCAGGTTTCCCTTCTGGAAAGGGACACAGGTGATTTCCAGGCAGAAATCCAACCCCCTCCTGACTCTCCTGTGGATGAAACCTCTCCTTACCCCCCCACAGTGAGCAGAGCACATTGAGTTCCTACTGACACAAGTTGTTGTCTTCATTTTGCAATGCCTGGAAGCAGCAGACAGCTCTGCATGGTTTTTTCCAACCTAAATGTCCAGTTTGGCCTGGAAGAAGAAATCCATTCAGCCTGTCCTGAGCTCCTGTGCCATCTCTGCTCCATCCCAGGCAGGGCTGAGGAGAGGAGACCCTATGGCAAAGCCCAACCTGGCAATTACAGCACATGGCACAGCTGATCTCATTCCCTACCTCAAATATGATCTCCTAAACAAATCCCACATCATTGTTTGGCTGTTATCCCAAAACATTGTGTTATTTCATATCCCAGCAGATCACTCATGTAAGAAAGCCAAGGGGAACAGGAAAAGGTCTAGGAAAGAAGAGCAAAGACTTATCCCATGCTACTGCAAGGATTTGGGGCTGTGGGAGGCTGAATCCAGCTGCCAGGACACTCCTGGATTTGCAGGATATGACAGACTTGGAGCCTCCTGAGCCCTGTTTGAGAAGTCATTTCTTCCACCCTGAGCACTGCTCTGGTGCTCACCAAACCCCAAGGTTGGAAGGGAAGAGCAAAGGCTGTTTGCAACAGGAAAACCCAAAAATGCCAAGCCCACGTGTCCCACCTCAGGCAGAAGGAAATTACAGAACCTTCTGTACCAACTGTGGCAAAACCACTTCCTCAGGCTGAGCACAAACTGCTCTGCACACAGAGATGAAGCCACAGCTCTGCTGCCCTCACCCCACCTGAGCACCTGCAGGTCTGGAGCTCCCTGAAACTCCTCCTGGAGTGCTGTGGGACAGGAGCTGGATCAGGAGGGAAGGCAATGTGTGCTGGCAAGCAGAGAAAGGCCTGATTTGGTAACTATTAAGCCCAAACTCATGGAAGAAGTGGTAAAGTCCTGGGGGTTCCAACGAGGAATGTTTTGTTATTCACAGGGAAGTCCAGATTCCCAGGACTTTATTCCCAGCCATAGGGAGGGATGTATGTGTTAACTGGAGATCACTGCTCATTCCCCAGGCATGTGGCAAGGGACAATCAGCACCTGGAAGGTCCCTGCAGAAACTGAGGAGAGGCTGAGGCACCTCTGGATTAGCACAGTGGGATCTCCCATCCCTGCAAGAAGGAGATGTCCCTCTCCTCCAATCCTTTTCCAAACTAATCAGGCCCAAAGATAAGTGTTCCCAGCACTGTGCTGAGGACAGAAGGGACAACTGTCCTACCCTGACTGAAATCAACTGAGGCAAATCCCTTCCCTTCCTTTCCAGCAGTGCTCCTGGGCACCACAGCCCAAACAAAAGCAGGCAAGAACACTTTGGAATAAGACAATGGAAGTTGGAATCCAATTGAGAACTTCCTGCAAACAGCCCAGTAATAAATGACTGAACAGCAGAACTCAAACAACAAGTGACCAGCGACTCAATGTGCTAAATAAACAACTCGTTAGGCAAACGGATGCTCTTATCCTTCCCAATTCCTTCACCTCTGCCATGGGCAGGCACTGTTTGCTGCCAGGCAGGAATGTTTACAGGTTGCTAGGAGTTCTCCTTGAAGGCTGGAGCTTGTCCATGCTCCACAGCAGAGAGCTGTGCTTGCTGTTCACTCCTGACTCCTGGCAGTGTGTGTGTGCTGAGGGATGGGGATGGGCTCAAACTACAAGCCAGGAACAGATAAAGCAGCTTTGAGGCAACACTGGAGAAGAAAGAGAGGTCACTTCCCTCCAAACAGGCCAAGGGAGCTCTAACTCTGCACCAGAGCACAATCAGCTGGAGCTGAGACACACAAAAAAAAGGGGATAAAAAGCCTCTCTGGAGGGATGGGAATGTCAAGCCTTTCCCTGTTCATCCCCTCCCAGCCCAGAGACCTCGTGGCAGGAGTTTGTACCTGGGTGGCTTTGTCATTCATGCAGGAGGTGGCAGTTCCCTCGGTGTCCCGTGGCCACTGGCCCAGCAGGTAGGAGCCCACGACGGTGTCCAGGGAACAAGTGCGACGCACGCGGAGCTGCCGCGGCCGGAGCAGCTTCTCCGTGCCCATGGCACAGGGAATGCTGGCACAGGGAACACTGGCTGTGGAGAGAAGGGAACACTGCACTCAGGCTCAGCACCAGCTCAGCCATGCCCAGCTAACTACAACACCCTTACCCAGCCCAGGCCCAGCACTGAGAGCACAGGGAGGGAACAGGAATGCACAGCCTGGGGATTTTTGGAAGTAAAATCCTGCTGATCCCAGTGAATTCCCACTCTGACAGCAGCAGCTCTTCCCTGTCAAGGTCATGCTGGAGATGTGATGCTCCCAGTTATGGGGAATGAGGAGCAGGAAGCTCACTTGAGCAGTGTGGGGTGGTGGGGTGATGGTCCATGTGCTCCTCTGCAGATCCATGTTCCTGCTTATCCCCGATTGTTCCCACTGATCCCTAAGAAACTTTTCACACTCATCCCTGAGGGACTGTTCCCCATGATCCCCAAAAAACTGATCCCCCAGAAACCACTTCTCTAGGAGCTCAGATTTTATTGCAGTCCTGCTTGAACTCATCCATCAGACATTCCAGTGGGAGCTGCTGCACACGCAAGTGAAACACATGAGTTCTGCACCAAACCCATCACTGCTCTGTGTGCAGTTGTTACTAGCTCAGTGGGAAAACTTATGGCAAGACCCAACAGCAAAGGGAGCCTGTGTGCCTCAGTTTCCCCCAAGGAAGTGTGCTCTGTGCTCACTTCCAGTTTCCAGGAGGGCAAAAGAACATGTGCCAAGTTTTGGATCCTCCAGCAGGACCATGTGAGCACTTGTTGTGCTCACTGGTTTGTGCACTCACTCACAGAGAACAGAACCTGTTCCCTGTCACAACCCTTTGCTGGCAGGATCCAGAATCCAAGCCAGGAGCTCTGGCTCTGCCCAGCTCCTGGGAGATGGCACATTCCCTGCCCAGACATCACTTCCACTGCAGCAACTGCAGACACAATGAGCAGGACAGCTCTGGGTGACTCTGTGTCACCAGTGACACTCAGCAGACTGATCCCACCACGAGCCAAGGGCACAGAGGATGGAGCCAAGTGTCACCACATTCCCTCCCTGTCCCCTCCATCCCATCCTGCCCAGCTCCAGGTGGATGTGATCCACCCTCCTACAGCTCTGTGCTCACCCCTGAGCTCACAGAGGTGTTGCAGCCCAAACCCCAAAGGCAGCAAGAAAGAGGCAAGCTGGAGCCAGCAGCAAAGTGTTTGCATTTCGTTGTGATTAGCCATGCAAATTCCCACACACACACATCTCAACCAGCCCTGTGGCCTCCTGGCAAGGTGTTCAGGCTGTGCACAGCTCCCTGCTCCAGCTGCTTTGTGTACAGATGCTCCCTCCTTCTTCCTCAAAAAGGCCAAGGCAGCAGGTAGTGAATGAACCACACTAAACCCGAGTTCAGGCTCTCAGTGCCCTGCTGTGTGCCAAATCCCTCTGCGCACCCCAGGCTGAGGCTGCTGCTGGGACAAGGCCTGTGAAATCCATCAATTAGCAGCTGAAGCACCATGTGAGCAGCAGAATTGGTGAGGAAAGGGAACAAAAGTCCCCGTGGGAGGCAGAGGCAGCTCCCAGCCACACCTCACACAGTCCACACTGATCAAAAGCTCATTGTGCTGGGTCCAGCTGGCAGGTCCAGGCACCCTCCCTGCTCCCAGCAGGTAACAGCAACACAGACACCACTCATTTAGAAACTCCCTGAGGTATCTGTGGCTTTCTCGTTGCCCCCATGGGCTGTTCCTTGCCTCTCCCTCAGCAGCTCTTCCCTGGCACAGCTGACTGCTCTGGGCAGCCTCTCCCACTCTGCTTTGCCAGCTCATGGTCCCTCAAAGCTCTCCAAGAGCTCCTTTTGATGTTACCACCACACCTGCAGTGACAAGGTCACCTGTGTCCTCTCCAAACCTTCACTAGGACAAGAGTCAAAACCAGCCTGAAAGGACCTGAGGACAGACAGGACACAGAGCAGAGAGATGTGACCTCCACTGTGACAACTGCATTGATTCATTGAACCATGGAATGTCCTGAGCTAATCATGGCATATCCTGAGCTGGAAGGGATCCACAAAGCTCAGAGTCCTACACAGGACACCCCAACAATCTCCCCACATGTCTCAGTGGTGTGTGGTGACTGACAAACCCTTAGAGCTATTGATGTGGTCACCTGTGATTCCTCTTCATGCAGTGGAACTGAACCACTCGGTGTGTTCTGAGCAGCACAGGGAAGCCCTGAGGGCTGAGGGAGGTCAGTCCTTCCCAGAGCACACAGGCTGCTGGCCCAGAGGAGGAGGAGGAGGAGGGTGGAGTGTCCTGTTTACAGCCTGTGCTATCACCATGCCTTGCACAGCTGCCACCTGGCCACAAGCTCTGGAGCAGAGCCAGCCCAGCCCTGCAGTGAAAGCTTGGGACAGTGGAGCTGCTGCAGATAAAAGACTTGTCCCCTATCTCCAGGAGCCATTTGGCTGTCCCCAAGGCCTTGTAAGAGGCTCTTGTGCAGCCACAGGCCACACTGGGCAGGAATTGGGTTTAAAAGGGGAAAGAAAAGTGTTCAAGGCTGGAATTCTATGTCTGCTGTGTCCCTTGTCCTTCCCAACCACATCAGTGAGCTCAGAGCTTCCCAAAGCCTCTCCAGGTCAATCTCTGCATCTAAAAGGAGAAAATAAGAGTCCTCAGTAAACTCCTCAAACCTTCCAGGGTCACTCTTGATAGTTTCATAGGTTGTTAAGGGGTTGGGATGGAGCTTAGAGATCATCCAACCCCAATCCCATCCCTGGGCAGGGACACCTCCCACCAGAGCAGGTTGCTCAAGGCTTTATCCAACCTGGAATGAATATTGCCAGGGTTGGGGCAGCCACAGCCTCCCTGGGCAACCTGTGCCAGTGTCTCACCACCCTCACAGGGAAAAACCAACTTCTTAATATCTAAAATCTTTCAGTCAGGAATGTTCAGAGTTGAACCAAAAATGATGCAAGGAAAAGACAAAGTTCCCATTTCTACTTTCTTTACAGTTGTAAAAGTTTCTTCCTTCCCTCTCCAGATTTCACCCTGGGGAAACTGAGCCTTTAACAGCAGAATGTTTAGAGATTTGGGGACATGCTGTTCAGACTTGATGTGCCTGCACTGTGTCCCTGCAAAGGTCCTTCTTAAAGGGATGAGGCACAAAGTAACAGGTTGTGATTACACATAATCAGCTCTCAAGTTAGCCCAGGGACCATGAGCTGAGGCTTTGCCAGGCAGGGAAGCTTTCCCTAAATCCAGATTGACTTAGATTCTGTCATGCCAAGGTGTATCCAATGGGTTTGGATGCAGTTTAAGCTCAATAAAGACCTGTAAGATTTCACAGACTGGTTTGGGTGAGAAGGACCTTAAAGCTCATCCAGTGCCACCCCCTGCCATGGGCAGGGACATCTCCCACTAGCCCAGGGGGCTCCAAGCCCTATCCAACCTGGCCTGGAACACTCCCAGGGATGGAGCAGCCTCTGGGCAACCTGTGCCAGTGCCTGACAGGGAAGATCTCAAGCTTTAAGCAGCAATGGAGCAGGAGATCCAGGGAAGTCTTGCAGGACATGCTGACTCCAGGTACCAAAAGAAAGTGAGGATACAAATCCACCTGAGGAGGCTCCACACAAACCCCACCTGAAAACAAAGCCAAGCAGGGAAGCAGAGAAGATCTCCAGTACATCTGCAGACACATATCTGGATCTATGCATACACATCTCATCCCAAAATTCCAGCAGGATTGGTTACCAGCAACCCCTGAAGGCTGCACACAATCTGCACTTCCTAGGCAAAGGAAATCTCACTTGATCCCAAACACAAGAGTTGGAGCAATGCAACAAGGAAGAAGAATGTGGTAGGACAGCCAGTGGTAATTGCTATGTATGGGTAGAGAAAATGAACAGTTTCACTGTTAAGAGGCTTTAAGAGGAGGATGAACCTGGGATTTCAGTCAGATTCCAAGGCAAGGCCATGCACAACCCTCAGCACACAGTTCAGTGTCCTCAGCAGTGACTTCAGCTCAGCCTCTGCAAGGGAAAGGTCCAACAAAGGTCTCTCTTGGTATCTAAAACCAAAATCCCTTTGCTTGAAAGACGATTTACAAGTGAAGGGAAACTCCCCCCAGTCAGGACAGGATTTCACAGCTCCTTTTGCTCATTTCAGCGCATATTAATACAGAAACAAAGCCCTGAGAGCACTGAAACCTTCACACCTTCCTGCCCGAGGCAGAAGCTGTGGTTAACCCACACTGTCCCTCCTGACTTGCTCAAAGTGCCCAACCCAGCCCAAAAAGTACCTTCTGTTCCCCAAGCACAGCCCCAACCCCCCCAGGGACCCTGCAGAAAGGAGCAGCACCAGGAAAGCACAATCCCAAGGGAAAGGCATCCCACAGCAGCTGAGGAGCTGATTCCCATGGGATACAGGCCCTGAGGGCTTCACCACTGGCCTGGGAGGACAAGGGAAGCAGTTCCAGGCTTTGTAATCCCAGCTACAAAAAGTACAGCTGGAAAGAGCTTCCCAGTGGACACAGCATCTGCAGAGATCATTGAGGGAATTCCTAGGGGACACCAACACTTCCAACAGGCTTTTTTTTTTTTTGAGATGCAGCAGGTCCTTTCAGCACAGCTCAGGCAGGAGCTGCACAGCCAGGGCTGATGGAGGAGCAGAGCTGAACTCTTCACCTTTAACTTCACTCCTTCAAAGTTTGTTTTTCAAAGGCTAAAACCATCTGAGGAATTTCAGCATCATCAGCTTGGAGATTCCTAGGTCCATCCTGATGGGAGGCACCACTCTGATGGATCTTCAAGCCCTTCTCCTCCCCAGGGGATCCAGGCTGGGGGAAGTTGCTGGCTTGGCTTTAGCTCTGGGATTGAAGGAACAGCTAGGAAAAGGAGCAGAAGGGCAGGAAGGCTCCCAGGACTGGTGAGGGTGGGATAGAAACATGCAAAAACTTGTTCAAACATCAGATCTTCAGCACTTGCTCACTCTGATCCTGGAGATCAAGTGGCTAAGGAGGGACCAGGATCATCAGTGTCACCTGGACCAGGAGGGAAACCCAAGCAATG